AAGCATAGGTGTGGAAAATAAGAAAAAAGGTTAATAGACTTGTACTATTTGTTTGTTTTTCTTCTCTCCTCTTGGCACAGATTACTTTCTACATGAGATGATGTGCTTTTTCAACAAATAGTACCATATGGCCCCCAATTCCGAATTGTCCGGAGCCCTCAAATTCTCCGGCTCCCAAAGAAAGCAATTCACACTCATTCATTTGGGCCTGGACAGGTACATGAAAAATCTTTCTGAAGACAGGTATCATGGGATCATTGGCTCGTTCCAAACCAGAACTGGACAAATCAATCTCCTGACAAGAAAAAAATTGCTTGTTTTTAAGTTACTTGCATAATGTTAGGTTTTAAATGCTTTTGGAAAACCCTGTGGCACTGGAAGTCTACTGTCTAAAGTCTAAGTCTATATGCCAATAGTGTCAGGAAAAGGGGAAGTATTTTTAATTTTTTGTTCTTCAGATGTTTAATATTAATATTGTTATTGCAACTTTGGCAGTATCAGTTGAGAAATGGCACAGAAATCTTATAGATAATATGGAGTCACTTTTTTACTATTCTCTTCTTCCTTGACAGACTGGTACAGAGGGTACAGTCTTCGAAATAAATCCAAAAAGGTACGCTATAATGTTTTTCTTCAGTTGTGAGTTTATATCAAATTTTAGCAAAGGGCTGTTTTATTTTTTCTTCTGGCGGAACCAGGGCATGAAAATAACACACATGTATTAGCAAGTTAGTTGTTAGTATTTTTATTTCCCATTAAATGGGAAGACAATCAAATGGAGATAGCTAATCTTCTAAATTATCTGTGTGGTGTAGTGAATAGTGATGGACTAGGACTCAGGAGACCTGGGTTCGAATTCCTGCACAGCCATGGGAACTCATGTGTGTTTTCATGTGGAACTGGTTACATCTTAAATATCTCATTTACCTTAGGGCCACTATAAGTCAGTTCCGACTTGATGGCTCAGAACATACACAATATTCTAAAAACGATGCTTATAAAGTAGTATTTTTATCTGACTTTCAAAACACTATTTTTAGAAACTCCCATGTATCAAGTTGTTTGTCCTCCGGTTTTAACACAAAAGGAACCATTTTAACATTGATGTGTTTATACTAAATGTTAAGCTGTGTGTTAAAATGTTTCTTCAACCACCACCTAACGTTCCATCAAGGTGGACAACTTGAGCCCCTCCCGATGTTGAAAGATGACAACTTCTAGGTTTTGCTAAGCTCGAAACATTGGTATAGGCAGGTATTATTTTTATATGACAGAAACTGCTGTGTTTTCTTATTGTTCCTTTTAGTTTAACTCTGGTATTATGGAGCCCTTGCTTTTATCATCACCAACAAGCCGTTGATGACTGCTTAAAACTCTGCCCTTCAGTGAGTTTATAACAATTTACTCTTTTGATAAGGTGACTATTTTGTCTTCCTAGGGCATTTTCCCATCAGCATACATCCATTTGAAAGAAGCAACAGTGCAAGATGGCGGGTAAGTGGCAAAGACATTTGACCGTAAGAAATAACAAATGTGATTATTTCCTGAATGTGCTGGAGGTTACATGTTATTCTCAGATTTCCTACTTAGGCCTTAGATTGCCAGTTTCCAAGAGATAATCATGTTAAATTTGTTGCATCTTATATAAGACAAACAAAATAGACCTACAGTGGTACCTCGCTTGACAAGGATAATTCGTTCCATTGAAATCGCTGTTAAGCGAAATCCTCGTCAAGCGAAACGAAAAAGCCCATTGAAATGCATTGAAAACCGGTTCAATGCGTTCCAATGGGCAAACTACCTCAGCGTACAGCAAAGATCCTCCATAGGGGCGGCCATTTTCGGTGCCTGTAAAGTGAGGAATCCATCCTAAAGCACAGCGGGGAGCCATTTTGCATAGCGGATGCCATTTTAGAGCCGCTGATCAGCTGTTTTAGAATCATTGTCTAGCGAAAAATCAGTTCTTGAAGCAGAGAACCAATCATCATCAAGCGAAATTTCCCTATCTAAACATCGTTTTGCAATCGCTATTGCGATCACAAAAAACTCATTGTAAAGCGGATTCGTCGTTTAACAAGGTAATCGTTAAGTGAGGGACCACTGTATTTGTCTCCATGCAAGCTTTTGTGGGTTATGATCGTCTTCCTCAGATACATGGAGTGAAATGATCAGCCATTATTTGCATCTCTTTGCCCCAACCTATAGACAGCATGAGACCGTCATTCCTAGCGAACTTCCCTTGGTCCAGGAACTCACCTCCACGCTCCGGGAATGGGCTGTTATTTGGCACAGACTCTATGTGGTGAGTAGGAGCTTATTCCGACTTGCATATGGAAAAGAAGCAGCTGACTAGGAATGCTTATAGCAAACCATGTCGGAAACCTTTGAAGTAGAGCTTAGGACAGGACTGGGAAGCTGGTTTCCAGTCTGGAGATCCTTGTCTCCACACTTTTCTGAATACTGGGAACATGGCTTTACCCCCACATGTGGGGAAGCAGCAGGAAGAACGAAGCCAGATCTAAGGAAGCTCTCCGAATACCAGCTGAATTACTGTGATTCTCCCAGTGCAGGCAAAAGGGGGTGGGCGGGTGAATCTGGTTCCTTTGTGTCTTCTTTCTCACATGATAGGGCTTTGGGAAGATATTCCAGGGTAGGGGAGAAGTGACTAGGGAACTTTGGTGGAATAAATTATGACCACCGGCCATGGGTTCCTCTCCTTGGTTCAAAGGAATCTTTGTTAATTAAAGATGAGAGTAAGTAAGTTTGCTGATCTTTAAAATTTATATAAATGATCTGTTCATAAGAATGTTTCTGAAGGAAGAAACTATTATCTTGCTTTGAGATTTTGCAGCTTTTAGGCATTGATAGCCTGTGTGGTGCAGTGAATAGAAGTTTGGACATGACTCAAGAGATCTGGGTTCAAATCCTTGCTTGGCCATTGAAAGTGGCAGTGATAAACCCCTCCTTGAACATCTCATGTTCCTTGAAAAACCCTAGTAGGGTTGCCCTAACTGGGAAACAACTTGATGACACATAACGATGTGAGATATTGTAAGTTCAAGCAAGACATGAATGCAGTTAATGTGTGACTTGAAAAAGAGAAAGAGCAGCTGTAGACTAGTGGTAAGAAGTTAAGGGAGTTTATTTAATCCTCCGCCCCCTTCAATCAATGGCGATGACCAAAAAAATCTCCACACACTCTGCAAAGGCAACTAACCACATCAAAGATGGATTAGCACTCATGGAAACTAATCTAAGCACTAGGAAGTAGACCACCTGAACATAGGTGCAGGTGATCCACTTGAACATAATCATGCAGAAAGGTCCATTATAGATGCTCATGCCCGTCAGTGACCATGTTTAGGTGATTTATCCACTTTGTTCTCTATGTCAGTGGTATTCTGGAAACAGAAGCAGCAAAAAAGATGTCCCGTCATCTGTATGGAGTCTTTAATTCATGCTGGGGAGCCTGAGACTCTATGTATGTTAGGACGTACAACTTCCACTAGTCCCTGTTCTCTGTGTCAGTGGTATTCTGGAACCAGAAGCAGCAACAAGCATGCCCCGTCATCTGAATGTAGTCTTTAATTCATGCTGGGGAGCCTGAGTCTCTATATGTTAGGACGTACAACTTCCACTAGTCCTGTCCAGCATAGCTGACCTTAAAGGGCCATAGATGTTGCATCTCAGGATCTGGAAAGTCACAAGTTGCCCATCCCTGTTTTATATGGAGGTGCCATAGATCAAATTTAGACTTTCTAGATCAGAGATTCCCAACCTTGATTCCATAGATGTTCTTGGATTAAAACTCCTAGAAGCTTAGACTTTCTTGATCAGAGGTTCCCAACCTTGATTCCCTAGATGTTCTTGGATTAGAAGCCTTCCCCACCGGTGGTTGTGACCAAAATTACTGGGAGTTGTAGTCCAAGCACGCTTGAGGACTCAAGGTTGGGAACCACTGCTTCTAGATTCAGAGCATTTGCTTGGCCACCAGTTTAACAAGTTCCCCCCATCCTAACTCTAGACCCTTATTCTGAAAAAAGAAGACAAAGAAAGATAAACAGTAGCTCTGCCCTATTCTTGACTCCCTGTTTCTCACTATATCCATTTCATTCTGCCTTCACTCTTTCTCTGTTTTGTAGCCAAAATATCTCCATCATGTCCAGGCCTTCCAGAGCTCTGCAAATATTTTGCTTCCTCCCTTCCCACCAGCACTGTTTTTGTTCAACTTGAGTGCCTTTCTTAGTTGGGGGTTATTTGAAACCCAAGGAGTAGCCCCTGTAAAAAACCTCTCCAGTATCTTTGTTTGCTTTCTGAGAGTGAACACTCAAGGTCAGATGAAGTCTTGCTGATGTAAACTCTTTCTTGGTAGAGCCATACATGAATATCTCAGCTATTATACGTGGAGGCTGAAACATTAAAAGTCTGTGTATTTTGGATCAAGGTTTTATTTCTGTGGCTTGTGTCTATAGCTAGAAGTAGAAGATCAAGGCAATAAGAGACAGAATCACAGAAGCAGCACACGCTTCATTAGTGTGAGTTGCCATTAGTGTCATAGTGGATGTATTTGTTTTTGGTCCTTATTAGCTCACCTTGGACTCCCACTTTTCCTATGTTGGGGTCAAAGTGGCTGACGTGGCTCTCCTTTCCTCAATATTGCATCCTCACAACTTGCCTGTGGGGTAGGTCTGATTGAGAGATATTGACTGCCTCAAGGTTTTCCATTGAGTTTTAAAGCTGAGTTTAGTAAAGGAATCCACAGTGTGACAAAGTTTATTAGCTTTGTGACTTTACAAAAAGGGGTTGGGATGAAGGTGAAGAGGTCTGTCCTCAGCTCTTTGACAGCACAGTAAAAATGGAATGCCTGGGTTGAGAGCTTGTGTGCCATTGAGTGGTGGTTCTCAACATTTGATGTTTAGGACTTCCAGCTCTTGGAAATCTCAGTCCTTGTAGTCAACGATCAGGGATTTGAGGGCTGAAATCCAAAACATCTAGAAGCTTCAAAGGTAAAGGTAAAGGTTCCCCTTGAGAATTTTTGTCCCGTCTAGAAGCTCCATAGTGGAGGACTCCTGTCATCAAATGCCAGCTCCCGGAGGTCAAACACAGGGAGACATTTGTTGGCTGTGCTTCTCCAAGGCATCTTGTTGGGTGCTGTGAGAAACTGGATGCTATAGTAGGTGGCTCCATAGTGGAGGACTACTGTCATCAAATGCCAGCTGCCGGCGGTCAAACACAGGGAGACATTTGTTGGCTGTGCTTCTCCAAGGCATCTTGTTGTGTGCTGTGAGAAACTGGATGCTATAGTAGGTGCAGTAAGTAGGTAAGATGGCCCCACTTGTACCATCAGCCTGTTTGTAATGATGGGTTTTTTTTGAGATCTATTGTTAGATTCTTCTTGGCCCTTTGGATGAACCAAGAGTGCTTCTCCAAGGCATCTTGTTGTGTGCTGTGAGAAACTGGATGCTATAGTAGGTGCAGTAAGTAGGTAAGATGGCCCCACTTGTACAGAGGTTGGGATTGTAATGATGGGTTTTTTTTGAGATCTATTGTTAGATTCTTCTTGGCCGTTTGGATGAACCAAGATTTGGAGTACCGGGAATTGTGGGTGAAAGTCTTGGAATCTTTTCTTCATACCAGTTTTATTCCCCTGTGATGTGCTTCAGGAGAACAAGAAGACTCTTTTTCGCCATGTGCAACAGATGACCTACAGCCTTATTGAGTGGCGGTCCCAGATCCTCTCAGGCACCCTCCCCAAAGATGAATTGGCAGAGCTCAAGAAAAAAGTCACTGCCAAAATAGACTATGGCAACAGGTAAGTTCAGCTCTTGTTCCTCTCCTTTGTTGCCATCTCCTGACTGAGAAACAGGGCATGGGTAGTCAATAACAAGGTGGTTGGTTTGTGTATGGCTCTCAAGACTGGCTAGAACACAAACACAGAGCTTCCAAAGCTGTGAACTAGTGTCTGTAATGGAGAAATATCTCTAGGAAACACCGTTCTGCAAAGGAGGTCCTTGGATGCAAAAGCTTTGATTGGACAGGGTGAGCAGTGGTAGTTTTCCATTAGATTCTCTGTCAGGTACTATTTTGAGGTTTGCCTGTCTACCTTTGTTGGCTTTTGTTGATGTAGACCCTTGACTCTTTTTGTGTATGGTGAGCTGTTCAAAATTACAAGTGGAGGAAGTAACGTAGAAAGGACCACAGGACTCTGATAGAGTTGCTTTGCATTCAGAAGGTTGTCAGTTCAGTGCCTAACATCTCCGTTCAGGAAGATCAGGTATGAATGGAAAGATTTTCACCTGAAATCCTGGAATGCCACTGAAAGTAGAAGTAGTTGATGAAAGTCTTGTTCTCTTATTCCTGATGATGCTAGGTCATGTCTAGGAAGGCAAGGTCAGGACAGGGAATGTGGTTTTCCTGCAAGCAGATCAGTGTCATGGAAGGTGGGTTCATTCAGGACCCTGGACAGAGCACTGTAGCAGGTGCTGGCTGGAGCTGACCCAAAACAGATGGGGGGCAATCTGTATCCAGATCCCTCCCCACACCATTAACTAGATCCAGCCCACCATGGCTTCCTCCCTGTAGCCATTTGATTGCAGGTCCTTTCGAGGATCAGGTGGACATGTTGGATCAAGTCCACAGTCTTTTCACGCTTTGTGTGAGATCACAATATGTCAGCAATTTAATAGGCACTGTCCACATTGTGTCTTGATTTGCAGGGTGTGTTTTCCCATCAATCCATGTAAAGCATGCACACAGCATACATGCACATTCATGGTTACTTGAATCCATTAATGTCTCGTGCCATGTAATTTTTTTCACCGTTCTCTGAAATGGCTGGCTCTTTTTCTTCTTCCAGTTTTTGGCCACCGGTATTAAGACAAAGGCCGGATAGCGCAGTGGATTAGGTCTCTGGCTGTGGGACCAGAGGTTGGGAGTTTGATTCCTCACTGTGCCTCTTGCAAGAAGAGTCAGCTTATGTGACATTGGGCAAGCTACACAGTCCTAAGGTGCCCCCAGAATAAGATAAATGGTAAACCACTTCTTGAAAAGATCACCATAAGTCAGAACTGACTTGATGGCAAACAATTATTTTTAGTAGTAAGGCAAAAACAAATGTGTCATAGGAGAAGAATACAGCAGTACCAGCCTCCCAAGTTCTAGTTCAGTGTTCTAACCACTATACTACACTGCTTCAATAATCCATAAATGTTCAGACAGTAGTAAATGTGATTCTCTAGGAAAACCCATTCCTGTTGGTTTTACCAATCTGCCTGATTCTCCCACTATTAAAACCCCCGGGGGGGGGGAGCAAAAAAAAGCACATCTCATCTTGTGAATTTAAACAAATATGCCTGCGTGGCCGCATCTCACTTGAGCCTAAGAAGTCAAGCATCTGTTACACTGTATACTGAAAAATCCTGTTGGGATAATTATTCTTAGGTAGGCAAATGAACCTCTTTGACTCTCAGTATTACCTGTGGGTTGTCTCGTAGATCTGCTGCCTGCCAGATTTTTTTTTTCCATCCAAGACAAACAAGTCTCCTTTGAAAGGTCGTGATACAGAGAAAGGGCAGGATCTGTTCTTGATCATCCCAGAGTGCAGGACCCATAATCATGGGCTCAAGCTACAGGAAGACATATTTAGGCTGAATATTAGGGGGGGGAAATCCCCTAACTGTTAGAGCAGTACAATAATGGAACCAGTTTCCTCAGGAGGTGATGAGCACTCCAGCACTGGAGGGATTCAAGAGAACTTTAGACAACCACCTGGCAGATATCCTTTTATCTGTATTCCTGCATTGAGCAAGGGGTTGGACTTGAAAAATGAACCGTTCAGCCTGCTTTGAGAAATAACAAGAAACGATAAGTGGTGAAATCTTGTGGTTTGGGTTTGAGCATCATCAGTGGTATCTGCTCTGTAATGTCACTCCTTTTTATCCCTTTTTCTTGTTCCTTGATCTTATGTAGTAGACATTTCTGCATCGTTGTGTGGTGACTGCATGTGGAACTTAACTCGTCTCTATGGACATAACCATTGAGAAGAGTTGTTCCTCTTTTCTTCCTCAGCTCCGTGGTCTTGAGTTAAAAAAACTACTTTTTGGAACTGCATTTTGCAAAATCCACCAGCCAGCCAGCATAGCTGCTGGTCATGCTGCTGAAGTATTTTAGGATCTGTAATTGGGAAACATAACTTTTCCTATTATTGATGGGCAGAGCCCTCTTGTGGGTAGAGAAGACTTTGGCCCATATCCTTGTGTCCTTTCTTCCATAAGGAGACCTGTCACCTCATCTTTTAGGTCACAATGGCCTCTTTACTTTGCCTTTTCCTCTGGGCCAGCCTTACCCTTTGGGTAAGGATCCTAAAACTGTTGTTTCAGCCATCATTGGAATTTTGCTAGAGCACAGGGAAAGTGGTTTTCCCCCCTCTGCCTGTGAAAAACTTATTTACCATGGGATTAAACAGTAAAAGAGTCACTATTGGAAAAACCCTCAATCCGACTCTGATTAAAATGCATCTTTGTCTTAAGGTAATGAGAGAGGCTTAGCAGGCCCTACCATAAGGCAGAGTTACCCCTCTTCTTCAAGTAGAAGATGATGGGGGATCATTAAATCTTTACTGTGGGGATAAAGATCCTTCATCACCACCACTAAAAGTCTGAGTTGGTATTTCATTTAGTTCCTACACAAACTTTGGTGAAGCTCTCTTTTCCTGCCTCTCTCAAGAAGCTTTTCTCAGGTAGTTGAAAAACAATATGAATCATCCAAAACAAAAACAAAAAAATCAGGATGTCTGTGTGCATTATTCATCTCTTCCTGTGTTTTAGCAATGAAACTTAAGTGCCTAGTCCTCATGATCTTCCCTAATGGAAGGGAAGAACTCAGTAGTTGTAAGCGAGACGTGGTTTGTTCACCAGAGGTGATGCTACATGAGCAGAAACAACTCTGCTAGCACAGCTAATAGTAGAGGACAATGGAAATTGTAGTCCCACTACCTCAAGAGGGCTGCCTTTTCATGCAGGAAGATGCACTCCAAAGCAAAACTTCAGTGAAAATACAAACTGCCACCAATGTAGGAATATACATGTTACTTCTCTCATTTAATTTATTATGAATTCCCATTTTAATTCCCCCCCTCTCTCTTCATGGCATGTCCTTTCTCCTGAATTGGTCTCAGGATTTTGGGACTAGATTTGGTAGTACGAGATGACAATGGGAACATCCTGGACCCAGAAGCCACCAGCATGATTGCCCTCTTTAAGGCACACGAGACAGCCTCCAAAAGAATTGATGAACGAATCCAGGAAGAGAAGGTGAGCTTCTGACTTCATTTATCGTTTACGCCGTTGATCTCCTTCTTTATCCCTTCTCTCTTCCCTTGGCCCCAGAGTGTCACCAATGACTCTTCCCCACTTCTCCCTCACTATGGATTGGTTTTTTTAAATTGCTATGTGTGAAGTTTCAGATAAAATGATTCGAAGAGGCAAGTTCAGAAGTGGGGTGGCTTGAGAAAGGCTGAGAATAATCTAACCATCTTTCCTCCCTGTTGATGAAGGGAGGAAGTAATCAACAGAACTCAACACTCTAGCATCCCGTCACCCAAGGTGACCACTTTCCTATGTCTAATGTTTGAGTGACACAATGGCTGAATTCTTGCTGCTTAGCACAGTGAGCCTTATTAGAGTAAGCCCATTGAATCAGTGACGATTTAGTGAGCCGATTCCTTTGTACATTCTGTCAGTTCAGTTCAACTTACTCTAGTTGCGGCTAAGTGCACAAAGCAATAGGATGTTTGCCGTTGTGTCTGTCCGGCCTTGGCCCTCAGTTCTTCCTTGGAGCTGACTTTTTCCTTCTACCTCCTCTTACAAACCAGTCTCTTCAGCAAAACGTTGACCTGCGGAGGCAGTCAATCTTCAACACAACCCACACATACAGCCTCTATGTTAATTTCAAGAATTTTGTCTGTAACATTGGGGAGGATGCAGAATTGCTTATGAGCCTCTACGATCCTGACCAATCCAAATTTATAAGGTATGTTGTTTGAACAATTTTGTTTTAAAAGCCTCTTACACGCTTCAGCAAAGATGTATATATAATACTATTAATAATATAATAATAAACTGTATTTTTTGCACCATAAGACTCACTTTTTTCCCACAAAACAGGGGGGTGGAAAGTCTGTGCATCTTATGGAGCGAAGAAAACAGATTATATTTTCCTGTTTTCTTCTCCTAAAAAATCGGTGCGTCTTATGGAAAGGTGTGTCTTATGGAGCGAAAAATACGGTAATACTATTAATATACTGAGTCATCTTGGAATTGAGGAATAAACAGGTGGGAGCTTTGAGCTCACATATTCCCTTTTCTTTCTTTTCGTGCAGATGGATAAGATCTTTAGCCACTTATAATATGTGACAAACCACAGTTTCTTGTTTCAACCAAATACAGGAAACAGTGGTTTGTTACAGACCGGGATATTCAAACCAGTTTCCCAGAATTGGAGGAAATGAAAGATTATGAGTTGTTGGATACTGAAAGAGGAAGCTTTTCCTCCCAGTTAACATGCAGAGAAGTGAGGGAGAGAAAGGAAGTATATGAAGCTCAGGCTTGCACCTGCTCATTGTGATAACAAGAAACCCGGGGGATTCATTGTGTGTGATGAGGGACATGATATAAATGATGTCATTGGGCTGTGGATGGTGCAGAAAAACATAAAACTCTACAAATCCTGGCTAGAGGTGTATGCCAAGCCTCTTTGTTAAAATGGAGTTTCAAAATCTTTTAACAAAGAGGACTGGGATAGACATTCAGCTATGATTTTTGGAGTTTTTATGTTTTTCTGCTTTGTTCACAAGCCCAGTGGTGCTCAGCCTGATGAAGTCCTGTACGGGCTGAAAGCTAGCTTCTCTTGAGATTTTTAAGTGGTCTAATAAAGATATCACTTACTTTTTTCAATCCCTTTTATATATTCCCACTTCATTCTGGTCCATCCACCTAGCTACCTGCCTTAGGACCAGAAAAACTGCCCTGTTCTTAGGCAGACACTGGACTAATTTCCAGAATTTCTGCAACTAGTTGCAAGCTTTTGGAAGAATGATCTGCGCATTTCTAGACAGCCTACTAAGTCAGAGGTAAACATGCTCGGGAAAGAGAACGGGGTCTGGTAGGCTTACCTGGTCTGATCTCAGCCCCTGGTAGCTTCTACCACACCCATCACCTATTTCCTCTAAGGGAGCACAACTCATTATGTCTTGGTTTTCCAACTGAAGATGAGTATATGGCTTCTTTTTCCATCTATACTGTCATAACGTAGATTATCATTGTGTGTTGTCAGACTGCTCCCAACATATGGCAATTTGAGTAAGGTTTTCGATTGCCAAAAAAATAACAAGGGCTTTATCAGGAAGAAGGTATTCCTTAAGAATTTGCGCTAAAGAAGATCCTTCACTTGTACAGATACCTTTGGTTTTGGAAGAGAGATTTTGGGGCACATTTAAGAGAGGGAGCTGTTAAATCATGTATGTTAGAGACACAGGAGGACAGTATGCAGACAGAGTGCTCTTAAATCCTACTTCCAGCTCATCAGAGGAGCTGAAAGTAATCAGCAAATTTAAACTGTACTCAAATATTTGGGACAGACTTTCCCATGAATTGCTTTTGTTTGTTGGTTTTATATGCCCCCCCAATTTGCTTCTAACATATGGAGACCCTAACAGGGTTTTTGAGACATGTGAGAAGTTCAAGTGGTGGTTTACTCTTTCTACTCCCCTGTGAGCGTCCATGACTGAGTGAGAATTTGAACCCAGGTCTCCTAAGTCTTAGTCTAATACTCTGTCAGCACAACTACACTAGCTCTTGTGAGATAGGTGAAGCCGAGGATAAGTGACTGAATCTTTGGTCATCCTCTTTGGTCATCCTCCAGCATCGCTGTGTGAGGATTTGAACCCCGCTCTCCCCAATCTGTGTTAAAGCACTATAAGTAAGTGCATCAGACTGGTGGGGGTTGCCCTTCTGTAACCATTATGTGGCTCCCGCTGATTTCACTGTAGTTCATAAAAAGAAATTTTGCCGTAAATTATGTCCCTTTGGCCAATTCACTCTCCCTCTTGTCTTTACTTAGCATCCCACATCTTTTTTCTTCTTGGAATGATGCAGTCTTTACCGTATGTTGACTCTTGTTATGGTGCTGTTGTCTAAATCCCAAAGCCGAAGGCTCTTCCTCATTTTCTTTTTGTGAAATATCAGAGGGCATGAAGGTTTATTTCTCTCAGATTCTCAAATTGCCCTAACCCATTTTGGCACCGATTGCAGCTCCACAAAACAAGTCGTGCTTCACATGATATGATGTAAACTAGACAGCGTAACAATAAAAAATGTTTTTGAGCATGTTTTTTTTTTTATTTGCAGTGAAAGTTACCTGGTTCGTTGGGGAAGTAATGGGATGCCAAAGGAAATTGAAAAGCTTAATAACCTTCAGGCTGTCTTTACGGTAAATTCTCTTTCTTCTTCTGGCTTTCTGAAATGAGGTTTCCCTGTGTCACCAGTGTTGTTGTTTTTATTACTGTCTCGTAGTTGTTTCTTTATTACTTGTGTTATCATAAGGATTTGGGGTCATTATGGGATGTTTCGAGGGGGCATCAGAGTTGACACTGCTTAAACAGAGATTGTTACATGGTCTGGCAAACATAGACGTTTGGCAAACTGGCCGGGATGTAACTATTTTCAAAGTCAACCCAAACTCTTTAAAGAGTTTGGAAATAACTTCTAAGCAGTCATGAGTTACAGTTATTGTTCTAAGTCCCAATTTCATTTATTTACTGACAGTACTACTTTTTTTAAAAAAAGTATTTTTCCATTATTAAAATAGCTACTTTTAGTTAATAGATATGGGGATTTTATAAGCCACTGGCTTATGGCATGAATCATAACAAAGTAGTAAGACCACTCAGACACCATGTAACAATAAAAGTAAGTAAATGGACAGCGATGTTTAAGAGCTCAAAGTTAATTTCATGGAAGAGCCCCATGGCACAGTGGTTAAAGAGTGGAGATTGGTGATTCAAGTGTTGTGGGGTGGTAAAGCTGCTCATATTTTCAGTCAAGTGTTCTACATTCTCTGTCCAGGGTGCTGAACCTTACCCTCAATTCATTTACCACCTTAGGCAACTTCTTTAAAGTTTGGATTATAACTCGGAGTGGATTCCCTGCCCTTGTAAAATCAGAGTTGAAAGCCTATCATGACTTCACCTGCCCTCTTCCACAGATAGGGAGCTGGACTTTTATTTCTATCAATCAGACCTGCAGTTTCAACAAAGGAGGTGTGGAGACCTGCAGCAAGTGACATAGAAATTCCTGTTCCTGTTCAGATGAAAAGGAAATTCTGGGACTCTTGTTCCATCTCTCAAGAAAGGAACACTGGTGGTTATTATCCTAATAATCATAATCACTGTCATAGAACTGTAGTTCTGGAAGCGACCTTATGAATCATTGAGGCCCAGCAAGTAATAAAACACCCAACCTCTGGCTCTGTAACCAGGGACATATAGAAATTCCTGTTCCTGTTCAGATGAAAAGGAAATTCTGGGACTCTTGTTCCATCTCTCAAGAAAGGAACACTGGTGGTTATTATCCTAATAATCATAATCACTGTCATAGAACTGTAGTTCTGGAAGCGACCTTATGAATCATTGAGGCCCAGCAAGTAATAAAACACCCAACCTCTGGCTCTGTAACCAGGGACATAAACCACTGACAGCAAGGAATAAAACTTCCAACCTCTGGCTCTGTAACCAGGGACATAAACCACTGAACTATCCAAGTTTTTAAAAGTAGCTCATTACTTCCACGCTTAGGTTATGCAAACTTTGCTAGCTCCTGTGGTCCATATATTATGGGAAGCGCCAGAAACCTGTTTGGACGAGAAATGAACCGGGGCGAACCACCGAACTGCCGTTTTGTGGTCACCTCTAACAGCTACCTTTTCCTGAATACAAGCTTTTATTTTGTCAAGGCGTTATGCTTCCATTGTACAAGATGGCAGATGTAATAAGGAAGGAACAATGTTGTCTGCACAACAGTAGTGAGGTGGTATCTGTTTGGCATGTTTATTTCCATTGTAACTTTTCTCAAGGGGCTAAGGAAGTGTCTACTACCAAGTCCCTTCCTGTCCCCTCTTCTGACTTTCTTATGGCTATGTTGCTATAGTCAGTCAGCCACTGAACAAGGACTCTGATAAGTCAGCCACTGAACAAGTGGCAGAGTTTGTGAAAATGGCTGTTCTTACTAGACAATATATGATTGATTTAGCTTTTATATCCACAAATATACACACAGAGAGACACATGTTTTGTACTTTTGTAAACTTGTCTTTACTAATTATTATAATAATATAATAATCAGCATATGGTGTCAAGTCAGTTCTGATTTATGGAGAGACTTTTCAGGGTTTTCCAAGGTAGAGAATACTCAGAAGCAGTTTACTATTCCCTTCTTATTGGCGTGCCATGGGACTGCGCAGCTTGCCCAAGATTACACAGGTTGGATCTTCTTGTAGGAGACACAGTGAGGAATCGAATTCCTAAATCACTGAGCTATCCAACCAGCTATATCATTATTATACAATATGATTATTGCATGATGTAGTGTTCTGTTGACTATAAATTAAAGGTAACCCATTATTAACATTAAAAAGCCCCAATACAGGCTCTCCTCATTTAATGTTTAATGATAGTTCAGATTTACCCTCATAAATGTGTGCTTGCATCGTCCCCATGCCTCTTCTTGACTGCATGTGATTTATTACTCTTGTATACAGTATTATTCTTCCTCACTTATTGACCAATTCGCTTAACAACCTAATCATAGGAATGGAACTCGGTCACTAAGTGAGGAGTACCTTTAAATAAAAACATTGGGTTTTTCTTAAAAACTGTCCTTTAATGAAAAATAAAATATTCTGGGTGACTTCCAGGAATAAATGTAAAAAAAGGATGGAAAGTAGTATTATTAAAGGTGGAACAAAAATTGCATTCCTAAAGCAATAAAAATCTTGTCCTAAAAACAGTGATCATGAAATTTCCCAGCACACTATTACAACCTGATAAAAAGAGCTTAAGGAACCAGGGAGAATAAACAAGTCTTCTGTGATGCCAGAAAGATTACTGCCATACAGATAATGGGTTTGGCGCCGGGTGAAACCTGACTGATTTCCATCAACAGAGCATCTTAAGAGTGAAAGTTTTTCTGCAGCCCTAACCTGAGTCGGTTGAGAGAATCACAGAAAGGCTTGATTAGCTTATTTGGCAGGTTAATATTCAAGCTGCCTGCCTGCCTGCCTTTAGTGTTTGAGGCATGATTATTCTCTCAGGGGATCTAATGTTATGTTCCTAATTTTTTGGATTCTTTAGCCCGCTGTATTCTAGGTTGGAAGGCGGTTATCCAGTTGGTATAACTCTGCCCTTCTCCCATGAATTGCATGGGTTTGAGCAGCATAGTTTTAGTTTACAAGGATTTTGTTTCAATACATAATAAATATTTCATTAAATAAATAAATATTGAAGAAATAATGTGTCTCTGGCCACCCAGTACTAGGGGCATGAGATCAACACTGAAAGCATTGAAGTGGTCTACTTGCCCCAAACACAACATCTCTAATTCAGCCTCTAGGTAAAGGGCCATAAAGACCTTTATTACACATGGTATTGTGTGGAGAACACTGTCAACGCTATGGAAGAAAACCGCAATACAGTGGTGCCCCCCATAGCGGCAATAATCAGTGCAGCCAAAATCATCGCTATACGGATTCGTCGCTATGCAAAATAAAAAAGCCCATAGGAATGCATAAAAACCCGTTTAATGTGTTCCTATGGGCAAAAAAAATTACCTTTATGCGAAAATCCTCCTTACGGCCGCCATTTTCGCTGCCCGGTAAGCGAGGAATGGTCGCGAAAACACAGCGGGCGACCATTTTTTTTAACCCAGTGGCCATTTTGGAACCGCCGATCAGCTGTTGGGAAAACATTGTTATGCAAAAATCGGTAAGCGATATTATGCAAAACTCGATAAGCGAAACAGCTTACCGATCATTGCAAAGTGATATTTTACCATTAGAAACATCGTTATCCGATCGCAAAAACAATCACAAAAAATTGTCGCTATGCAGATTCGTCATTAAATGAGGTGCCCGTTAATCGAGGCACCACTGTACTGTAGAGAGAACTGGTCTCTCTCTCTCTCTGTGTGTGAATTTTCTGTTTCTGCTTTGTTTTGGGGAGCATAAGAGTTATATGCAGATTTTGAATTACCTGGGGGTCCAGCACCCTTAACCTCAGTGTTGCTGAAGGCAGAAGTGTATACGGTTATGATCTGAAAAGAACAGATGCAGTGTCAAAACCATAGAAGTACAAATAAAGAGGCTAGAGCGAGTAGCCACTCCTTTTGGAGACCATTCCCAAAAGCACAGAAGGCTATTTCTTTTCTAATTGCATGCAAGTGGTGCCCGCATGTGATACACAGGGAAGGGCCTTCCCAGAAGATGCATAAACTGCGCAAGCCATCCCCCCCCCTTTTTTTCAATTGTTTGGTTAAATGGTGGTGGGAACCTTCTGCAGCTGGGTTTTCACCTTGTCCACAAATCAAAAATAATTCCTTCCCGTTTCCCTGTCTGTGTCATGTTTCCACTGAGGGCAAGAATGAGGCTGTCATTAGTGTTGGTGTAGTTAAATATTCACTCTTATTTCCTGGTGAGTAACTGATGTGTGTTAAGGTTGCATCCCAGCTACCGTAGTTTTTTGAACTCCCTGGAAGAGTGGGGAATGGTAGGACCGTCTTATCTAGAAGAGCAATACAGGAGGAGGTGATCTAGCTCCCAACCTTGGGTCTCCAGGTGTTCTTGGATCTTATCTAGAAGAGCAACACAGGAGGAGGTGATTTGGCTTCCAACCTCGGGTCTCCAGGTGTTCATAGACTACAACTCCCAGACATCCAGGCCAGCATAGCTAATAGTGGAAGCTTCTGGGAGTTTTAGTCCAAGAGCATCTGGGGACTCAACTGAGCTGTTGCATCATCTCCCTACAAAGATGGGATTCTGCAAATTTATGTGTGTAAGGCTTATCTAGAATGAACACTACTTGTATATATGTGCATTTGTGCAGATCTGCTGTTGCATTGAAGCTGAATATGCAACCTTGAGGGACATTTCTAGTGAAAGAACTGGGAACATGTTTAGTGGTGCATTAAAGGTATAACTGTCTGATTCAGTCCTATTCTGCTTCATGCCTTCATTGAAAGTAGGGTGAATTGTTAATATTAATATCAATATTAATAATTTTAACATTACATCTGTTTAAATCTTTTTAAAGTTTGTAATCATTCCTTGTTTTTAGTTTTTAGCATTCTTTCTGTTTTAATACTGTAAGCTGTCTGGGGTCCTTTTTAGGAGAAAGGTGGGATATAAGTATTTTAAATAAATAATAAACAAGATATCTGATAGTAAAAGCCACATAAGAACTGAAGCATTTGTTGGACCCAAATATGAGGGAGAAACAAGGTCTCAGTTTAGTGGTGGTAGGAACCAGACCAAAATAACTCTTCATTAGGTAAAGGTTCGCCTTGACATTTACTCCAGTTGTGTCTGACTCTAGGGCGTGATGCTCATCCCCGTCTCCAAGCCATAGAGCCATCGTTTGTCCAAAGACAGTTTCTGTGGTCACATGGCCAACACAACTAGACAAGGAACGCCATTACCTTCCCACCGAGGTGGTACCTATTCATCTACTCGCATTTTTACATGCTTTCGAATGTCTAGGTTGGCAGGAGCTGGGACAAGCGACGGGAGCTCACTCCATTGCGTGGATTCAATCTTACGACTGCTGGTCTTCTGACCCTGCAGCACAGAGGCTTCTGCCATTTAACCCGCAGTGCCACCATGTCCCTCTTCATTATAGATTTCTAAATTATGGCCCCTGAAGAAGGCCACAAAATGATCTGGTGAAAAGTATTTGACAGTTTTAATAGTGTAAGAAAACCTTCCCCTCCCCCAAAAAATATCATGAGACTGTCTTATTTGGATGTCTGAACAGTCCATTGGTTGACTTGCAACTGTTTGGATTATCACCACTTCTAATCTGCATATAATTCAATTCTTCAAAAAACAACAACACACAACTGTTGATGTATGAATGTGGGGCATTGTGCTTCAGTACACACGATTCACAACACCAATACCAATTTCTATTCTCTGACTGTGATAAACTGGGTTTGCATATCCAGAGAAACAGTACCTTTCCTCACTTTTCTAGTTTTTATTCTGCCTTTCCATTTCTTACTCGATCTTTTTTACTCTGCCCACTCTTTTCCCTTCTACTCAATCTTTTTGTGGCCTCAAATGAACCTCTTCAGGATGTTTAAAAAAACTATCTAGAATGAGAAACTACAACTAAGTTTGGAGAACAGGTGGCAACTAGGGATGACTCCAGCTGAGAGATCAAAAGTAACTTGTACCTGCGTTTATCCCTGGAGATCCATGGAGCACAGCAGATGGAACAGATAGTGTTGGGTTTGAACCATGTAGATGTCATCTGTATGTATCTAGACAGAGTTTACCATATTTGACCTTACTTTGTTGGCCAAGTCTAAATTTGGTCCACAGATACTGGTTTTGCTTTGCTGAGTAGGAAAAGATCTAAGGAGGCTTACCCATTTGGATGCTCCAAGGTGAGACATATGAAGTACCTTAGTCATGGTGAAAGCAAAGAACCCACGCCTTTCTGCCCAGTGTTTTAGAAGGGCTTGGATTGTCATATAATTGTTCAGATGGTGTCCACTCATCTTTTTGGGTCCAAAATTAGGAGGGAGTCTGGTTGGCTGTTCAAAATGCCAGATTCACCATGACAAGAGAAAATATAGAAGCTGTGCATAGATTCACGGCAGGGTTGACTGCTTCAGTTCCATGAACTTCCAGGCATATATGTTCATTGTATGAACTTTGTCATATAACAGGACTGTCTGAAATCAGATTTGTAAGTTTTTTGGGGGTGTGTGACTGCAACTCTGATGGATCAAGTTATGTTCTTTTCCCCTCTCTCTTTCTCAAACTGCTCTGATTATGGTTTGATGGTCTCGCCTTTCTAGGACCTTAGCAGTTCTGACCTGATCCGACCTCGCATCAGCTTGGTGTGTCAGATTGTGAGAGTGGGTCACATGGAGCTGAAAGAGGGCAAAAAACACACCTGTGGCCTCCGGAGACCATTTGGAGTGGCAGGTAAGAGAAACCATGATGGCTTATAAGGTCTTCTGTTCAGTGAAGTCCCATCAATTGTTTTAGATGGCTAGGACATCAATCAAAGTCCTGGGCTTGAATTCTCACTTCTTCTGTCTAGAGCAATGGCTCCCAACGTTGGGTCCCCAGATGTTCTAAGACTACAACTCCCAGAAATCCTGGATAGCAAAGCTAGTGGTGAAGGCTTCTGGGAGTTTTAGTCCAAGAACATCTGAGCACCCAAGGTTGGGAACCACTGGTTTGTAATGTTTCCTACCTAAATGCAGATAAAAGCAAAGCATGATGTAGAGGGAAGGATGTACATGTGTGGGAGTGATATGTGATTAAAGTTTCTGATGATCAGCTGTGATATACCGTCTTTCCCCAAAAATAGAACAGGGTCTTATATTAAATTTTTCTCCAAAAATCCATTAGGGCTTATTTTCAGGGCATTATGTTTTATTCTTTTTCATGTACAACCATCTACATTTATTGCCCTCCCTTATACTCTGAAGCCCATCAATTCCTGATCTGTAAAATTCATTCAATTAACTTATCACTTGTGACCATAAGCCTTTGCAAAATATACCAGTGCAAATGAAAAAGTGTGGGGGAGAAGCATTGTATAAATGTTATCTTTAAAAAAATCATTTAAAATATTTAAGTCTTTTGTGAATGAAATCTTTACACCTTAACATGTGCATGTGTGTATGTAATATGATTTGAGTTCTGAGTGAAAGGAAGAAATATTTAATTTGCCTTTTCTCTTCCTCATTGCTTGGCCAAGAAATTTGTGGGAAGTTGTGGTCTCCTTTCTGTGTCTTTCTCTCCAGCTGACTTTCACATCCCTTTCTGGGAAGCCCATTGTCCCCAGGTGAAAAACTCCAAATGAGATATTTTTAGAACTGGGGGAAGAAATATGGCCCTCCAGGTGGCCTTCTTTCCTGGAACCTTTTGTCCTCCTTTGGAGTATTCGGCCTCCCACAAAGGTTCCTGTAAATCGGAGGAGCGAAAACCATTTCAGCCCCTGCTTGGAAATGTTACTCATTGGGACTACATATCCCAGAATCCAGTGCTGTCTGGGGGATTCTGGGAGTTGCAGTCCACTCAAAGCAACATTTTCAAGCTCTGGTTTGAACATGGCTGTTTTTATAAGGCTGGCACAGTCTGTGGAATGCTATGCAGCCTGTAGGATGCGAAATCCTTTAAAGTGTCTTGTGACACCATAAAATAGGGGTTTCCGAACTTTTTCGACTCACATTTCCCTTGGCTTTACTGGCCACTGGCTGTGGCTTCTCCAATATGATACTTTGGGCAAGGGGAGAAGGGAGAGGGGAGTCCAGCCTGAGTACTAGCTCTACAGATTCCATAGCATCCCTGGCCATGCTTGGTTGGCACCCGAGGATGCCATGGGCACAGTTTGGGAACCTCTGCCTTAAAGACTAAAAAGTTGTATTTAGCCTTAAACTGTAGCCTGCTTGCTCACATGGACCACGAGGGCTTTTGTACCTAACCACTTGTGCCCCAAAGTGCCACAGAGGCAAGATAATACATCTCTTTCTATGAAATACCTTGAAGTGGGTAAAAATGGCAGAAGTGAAGTGTGTGCCCTCCAGATGCTTTTGGAATGCAACTTCCATCGTTCTTCCCCTTTGGCCAGACAGGCTAGGACTGAGGGACGAGAGCACCTGGAGAGCTGCCTCCGTCCTTGCCTCCTGTAAAGTGCGGTGCGAGTGTGATGTGATGTTTTGTTATTGCTGTTGTGCAGCAAGGTGCCTTTATTTTAAAAGAGGACAGCAAGTCTTTAGCATACTGGTGATCACATTTCGAAGGGTCCCCTTCCAGGCAAATCCCTTGCATGTGTGACTGAGTTTGCTTCTCTGGCAATTATTATTGTTGCAAGATCTGCTGGTGTGAGCGGCAAAGCACTGATTCCTAGAAGGGAGAGCTTCATTTGGTTTCATAAGCCACCTAGATCTTTTACGGTCAGGTCATCATGCTGTCCAGCTCAGAATAGTTGGGGACACAACTAGGGGGAAATATGCGATTTGAGTTTGCTTCCTTGTGGCCTCTACAATCTGCTACTTGGGGTCACCGTCTCTGTCTCACACTAGAGTTAGCCCTAAGTATAGATCTTCTCTTCTCACTTCTCTGTTTAGAATTGGAGATGGTCACAAATCAGGAAAATTGTGATTTGTTTTGATTTGGGATTCGTCAAGGTTGACAAATCACAAATTACAAATTTATGATTTTTTTCTTACATTTTAAACCCTATAAAATAGCCCCCCCCAAGCACCTAGAGACACCAAATTCGAAAGGAAGCTTCCCCGACTCTCCTCTACAAGACAAGCAAGTTTAGTGAAGTTTGGGTTTCGGACTTCCAAGTTATACACCCATAAGGAGGGCTTCCCAAGGAAGGTTCCCTCTAGCACCTAGAGACACCAAAATCACAGAGAAGCTTCTACTGAATCTCCTCTACAATTCCTGTAGGAAAGTGCACTTTAACAGCTGGCTTGGGGAAACCTAATCTTCACCAAACTTGGAGGGATTGTAGAGGAGAGTCATAGGAAATATCTCTGGTTTCGGAGTCTCTAGGTGGCTGAGATGAACTTTCTCTCGGATGGACTCTTCGTGAGTGTATAATTAGGACATCTGAAATGCAATCTTCAGAAAATGTGGAGGGCTTGTAGTGGACAGTCAGTGGGAGCTTCCCTGTGAATTTGGTGTCTCTAGGTACCTGGGGTGGAGCTTCTTTTATAGCCAAATGAATCAATGAATTAAAAAAATCACTAAAAGTTCATTGATTCGTATTCTTTGGAGCATTGATTCACATGAATACAAATCGATGAATTAGCAATTTTTTGAAGGAATGTGGTGATTCGTTTTTTAATTTGTGACCATCTCTATTCAGAATGATGGGCTTTGCCTGACTGAAGAAACCAGGGCGTTGTAGCTGTTAGACTGGCAAATTAGGACAAAGAAGATTTCACTTCAATTCCCTGTTTAACCACAAAATACACTTTGACCCAGTCACACACTCTTGAACTAGACTGGATTTTGAGTTGCAAGTTTAAAATGGATGGAAAGAATGATACATGTCAGAACTTCACCATGCCCAAGCCACCAGGTCAGATGTGGTACGCTGGAGCAGTGATCCCCAACCTTGGGCCTCTAGATGTTCTTGGACTTCAACTCCCAGGAATCCTGGCCAGCAGAGATGGTGGTGAAGGCTTCTGGGAGTTGTAGCCCAAGAACCTCTGGAGGCCCAAGGTTGGGGACCACTGTGCTAGAGGGTGTAGAAGCCTAGAATGGAATGCACGTGTTTCAGGTTTTATGGTATATGAGGAACAGGATATTTTTCCATGTTTTTGCTGTGTTGGGAAGGCAATGAAAACGGATCTAGTGAGACCCCAGTGGGCCACCATATATGGAAAGTCCATTGTATTTGGTTATGTTGGTCACAATTGTACATTCAGCCTCCAAAACTGGCTCTGATCTTACCCTAGATTGGGCATGGTCAACTTGTGTCGGCTCAATTGTTAAGTTGTGACTCCCATCAGCTTTCATCACCATGGCCAATGACTTGCAGTCCCACAGCATCTGGAGGGACACAGGTTGTCCACTCAGCCTCATATGATGTGAAATAAGCTTCCAAACTTTAGAGGAGGTTTTTTTTTTAGTATAAATGTTATGTTATGATAGTATGTTTCATCAAAACTTTTCTTTTCCTAGTAATGGACATTACGGACATCATCCATGGAAAAGTGGATGATGAAGAGAAGCAACATTTTATACCTTTTCAGCAGTAAGTATTAGCTCTCTCTCTTTTTTCTTGTAAACCAGCAAGTTTAGACTTTTTTGCACTTGGTATGGGATGTGAATTGCTATATTTTGAGAAGCACCCACATTTAATCTATCTTCCTTTTCAAAAACCTTACAAGACAACTTTCAGTTACCAGTTTAGCTTTAATGTACTGTTGGTGTGCTCACCCCCTCCCCGAGGTAATTGGTTCCATCATCATACTGCTCTAACAGTTAAGACATTCATCCTGATATTCAGCCTAAATCTGGCTTCCTATTGATTGAGCCTATTATTCTGACTCCCTACTCACCCGGCCACTCTGACAAGGGGGTGGGAGGACTAGTCTCCCTGCTCAGCAGTAGAGTAGCCAAGCGAGCAGGGAGGTAGCGCTGCAGCAACTGGGTTACTGCCAGAATTGGGGCTACAGTCCTGTAGTCACAGAGCTCCCCTCTTTTGAATCTGTGTGGCTTGTATGGTACAGACCTTCAGGTGTGCATCGAAAACTCATCAAACTGCCTTTCTTCCACTGTGTTTCACATCTCTGTATTTGTCTTCAATACCATGTGCTTCTGGATTCCTCATTTTATCTGGTGAGGGTTTTGTCCTAAAAGGCAGTGTATAAATGAATAATGCAGTGATGGGCAGCCTGTGTCTGTCCTGATATTATGGGCTATAGCTGCCATCATTCCTCACCATTGGTTCTGCTGTTTGGACCTGAGGGAAGCTATAGTTCAGTAGCTCCTGGAGAGTTGCAAGGCACCGGCTCTTCAAAGAGGTTTTATTCCTTGATTAAATAGAGCAGCATAAAATGAATAAGCATCCCAAATGGCTGTAAATATTAGTTTAAGTGCTTATTGAGTCTTCTGCTGGAATAGATTTGATGTGTGTCAGCATTCAGAACTAGCCCAGACAGAACACCATAACACTCTTAAATGCATTTAAGAATTGAGTTTAAAGCTGGCCGTGAATCACAATTAAGCAAGAACCTTTTTATGTGTTAACTTCAGTTAAGCCAGTACCAGCACATACTTTTAATTGTAGAGTAAAGTGGGAGAAGAAAAATTTGTCCTGCAGAAATGAGAGTGTGATTCTATTACTCTTCTGATTTCCTACCAACAGTTAAGAGACCCCTGATAGTTCTGTGAAGAGGAACATGATGGGGGTGGAGAGGGGTTAAGGCTGGCCTTAAAAGAGCAAGTCCTTTGGGCTTATTCCAGTTTCGTTTCTGTATGAACCTGTTCAATGTACCAGGAGGGCTGTGAAACCTTGAAAAGTTGCCTCTTTTACTGCTGGGTTAGGAAACACTCTGAGTTGGGGTGGACTAGCTTTCTACTTGAGGGATCGACAGTGGTACCTCGACTTACAAACTTAATCCTTATTGGAAATAAGTTCATACGTCAATAAGTTCATAAGTCAAGTCAAACTTTCCCATTGGAATGCATTGAAAACCATTTAATCCATTCAGGCTGTTTTCCGTTCATATGTCGAGGCGCTGTTCATAGGTAGAGGCATTAGTTCCCATAGGAACTAATGCAAAGCCGATTAATCCGTACTCTACCATTAGGGGGTGAATTTTTTTTAATATTTTTCTTCTTTTGACCTAAGGTGAACTTAGGTCAAAAAAAGGGCAGGAAAGTTTTTTTTCTTTTTTTTTCGGTTTGTAAATCGAGGCTCCGTTCGCAAGTCGAAGCAATTTTGTGAAGGGAGCCATTCGTAACTCGAATGGTTCGCAAGTAGGGACGTTCGCAAGTTGAGGTACCACTGTATTTTGGGTTGTAGCACGACCCCTGAGAGCTATTTGTAGGAGCCAGTAGGGCTGCTAGAAGACTTTTTGGTGCTGGAAATGAGGGAGGAAATGATGTTCTTCCCCTCAATCCACCTATGAAAGTATGTGGAAGTGCCCGTTGAAGACCAGCCATGGAATAATAACACACTGAAGTTAACAACAGGGCAGTAGTTCAAAAATAGGGCCTCTTGTGCTGTGCCCACAGCCCTGTCCTTTAATAAAAGCTAGTATTCAGAACAGATTGTGGGCCGTGGCCCTCACAGCTTTTGCCACTTGAGGCAGTTACTTCAGTGCTGTCTAATGGTAGGGCTGACCTTGATGGCTAGTGTAAAACAGTGGCTCAGGCAAATGGATATCATGTTGAGAACTAGCTGCTGGAGTACTTATGAGTTTGTGTTTGGCCCAGAAATTTGTAGTCAGTACCACAATCAAGCTTGTAAGACTTTTTACTCAGAAACACACTTACATTTTTTTCCTCCCCCACACATTATTTTTCATTTTCCTACATTCAAAGAAAGTGTTGTTGTTTGTTGTTGTTTGTTGTTTATTGTTTATTGTTAGATACAAGTCAGAAATCCTCCACTGTGGGACAGTCAGAGATCTACTGGTGGATCCACATCTCTCTTCTGTCTACTTGTGCTTTAACACAGCTTCCTTCACTTGCTATCTTCTAGATATTGCTTGAATATTCCTCGAGATATTGCTCAAATATTGGAAATGTTACTTTTGTGGTCTCCAGCTACCAGAACCCCCGGTCTGTGTGGCCAGTCGTTCTGCTGACTGGGGGAGTCTGGGAGGCAACAGGCTCATGAAGGTTACTCTAAGATGTCCTCCCTCTTGTTGGAATATTGAGATAATTTTGAAGACACTGCCAACCAAGGCTTTCACTTCTGCTTTTTTATGCTTCTTCTCAGGATTGCCATGGAAACCTACATCAGACAGAGGCAGTTAATCATGGCGCCTTTAATAACTTCTCATGTGATTGGAGAGAATGAGCCCCTCACATCAGTCTTCAACAAAGTCATTGCTGCCAAGGAAGTGAATCACAAAGGGCAAGGTACCCAGAGCAGATGGAAGGGTGGTTCTGAAAAGACCAGAAGAAGGAGAGGATGATGGGGGGTTGGAATAGAGTTGGAAACAGAGAGTTTCCATTAGCTTGAAAACCAAAGTCATCACTTAGGATGGGCAAAGCCACGGGCATGTACATATTGTTCCTCAGAATGTGTTGATTTTCCTCAGGAAATCTTCAATAATTCCTTTGTGCTGCTGTTACACAAGTATGTAGTTAGCAAGATGGAACTCCGTATGAAGTGTATTACTGAAACTTGGAAAAGTTGCCCTTTTGCTGTTCATGCTTGTTGGAGGATCCTAAAAGGAAAATCTCGAAACTTTCCATGCTACATTTTTTTAAAAGCACTGAAACCTTATTAAAACAGAGTTTGAGAAATGTGAGGGAAAGAAATATTAGCCTAAAAGGAGGAAAGAGGATGGAATCTTTAAGTGGAAGACCTCTTGGTGAGGATCAGTGATAAGCGGATCTACCTTCCCTTCTCATCTTTGGGAACAGAGGGACCAGTTCTCAGCTGAAAATGTGACAGAATCAATTCGGCCATTGCTGAGGAGAATGAAAACCTAAATAAAAGTCTCTCTTCTAAATGGTACTGGTCTCTCTACCAGTATAGCTAGCTATTTTTTAAGATTATTGCTATCGGTTTTAATATTTTTAATGTTTTGTTTTGTTTTCTATTTTGAGTTGTAACCCGCCCAGAGTATGCTGTGACACTAATGGGAGAGGGATATAAACTGGATGGATGAATGAATGAATGAATGAATGAATGAATGAATGAATGAATGAATGAAACTGCCATTGCAGAAGCTTGCCTTCATCCTCACCATAAATTTGATCTGATGTATGCTGAGCAAGCTTTTTTGCATTGGTACATTGGAGATGGAATGGAAGAAGGAGAATTTTCAGAAGCTCACAAGGATTTTGCTGCCCTCGAGAAAGACTATGATGAAGTGGGTGTGGATTCTCTGGAAGCTGAGGCTGAAGGAGGAGAAGGATATTAAAAATAATAATACCGGATGATTAAACATGTAGATGTACTTTCCTATGTTTGCTTTCTTGTTAAATTTCAAACAAAAATGCGAATGTTCTGGCAAGTTTCGGGTAATAATAATTGTTTAAAACCTTTCATGGGAGGTTTTATAGCTAGATATTTGGGTGAGAGTGGAAGGATACAGACAGATCGTGCAGATAGCAAGGCACAATGCGGTTAGGCTAAATCATGTCCTTGCAATAAGGCTTTGGGGCTTACCTAGCCAAGCAAGATCAAAAACTGCAGAAAAAAAACCCCATTCAATGGCACAACTGGAGATTGGGGGAAAACTAATGGTGGACTTGATTGGCACACCTTTTTGATTTTTTTTTCCCTGTCATGCGTTTTGGGTTGCACAATATCATGTCTCTGTCAAACCTGCCCAAATGCCCACCTTCCCCAGTAGCATTCATAACTGCCTGTTGTGTTATCTTTGTTTTCTACCTTAGGCCTTTGGGTTTCTCTGAAGCTTCTGCCTGGGGATTTAGCTCAGGTTCAGAAAGACTTTTCTCATCTCATTGACAGATCGACAGCAGTGGCTCGCAAAATGGGATTCCCAGAGATCATTCTGCCTGGTGGGTATTTCTGTGCTGCCGGGCATGTTTGCAGGGTGGGGTGGGAGGCATTGCATTTCTAGGAGAAGATAGCCATCATTGGATAAGAGCATTGGCCCTCTTGTGAATGGGCAGATAATTAAAAGAGCAGGAAACGTAGGACAGGGGATGGGAGACAATCCCATCTCCCCAGAGTAAAACCTTCAAGAACACAATCTTGTAGGCATGCATGAATATTTCTAGAGAGGAAGTACAGGCCACAGTCCTACTGGTCTTTGCACTGTGTGGGTGTAACTTGCTGCAGCTGGTTGGGGCTAATTGAAGACATGCTAGAGTGCCCCTTCTTTTGTTTTTTTCAATTTAAACATTTTAATACAAAGATACAATATAGGAAACCATAAAATTGTCATAAACCATCAAACCTTACATCATAAGCATATCAAATGGTATTACTAGTTAACATAACATATCTTTCCATAAATCAGCATGAGTTGCTGGTGGGTTGCTAAGAAAATCAGTATAATTATTATAATACTTAATGAAAGAAAGCCATGTTTTATATTTTTAAAAAGTCTATATTGGAATTCTGATAACTCATTTATGAGTGGGCAGTGGGTTTTTCCATCAAAACTAATTTCTATATCCTAGGATGCTAAGCATTCCTTAAAATTTCTGCAGCTGTCTTTCACCATTGAGCAATTGTTTGTTTAGCTGCTACACCCAAAAAAAGTAATTAACTCTTTATGATGTAATAGTGCATTGGAATCTAAGAACAAATTCACCAATCCCCAGGTAGGGGGGCACTCAGTGCCCTTTGGTGAGAAAGATGGGTGCATGATCAGGAAAATGACCAAGACATGTGGTGGCATAGCCTCAATCAGCCACAGTTCTGTGTGAACACCAAGAGGATTCTGGCCCCTGTGTTTAATCCCAGGCTGAGCCTTCGACCGCATGATGCTTTCTCCAAGGGCTGGGCTGGAATTCTCATCCTCTTCAGGGAGCACAATGAATTGGAATCACTTGGGTTGATGGGAGTTGCAGACCAACAGCTGGGAAGACCACCAAGTTGGGGAAAGCTGCTCTAGATGATTGACTATCCCTGGAGGAAATTGGGTTGAGAGGTTCGTATTAGGATTACCCCAAGACTCTTTTGCTGCCGGAGACAGAACAGGTGGCATAATGTAAACAAATATTTGTAGTATTTAAAACCAGAGGAATTATTTTGTCCCAAAATCCCACAATTGCTATAGCCCAACCCCTTCCCAGTCAGATTAAAATAGAATAACCACACATTATCAATAGAGGAATTGTGCCAGCATAAATCTGTGGGCACATATGTCAACAGCAAATTCCCACTAGTTGAGAAATCAGTGTTTACATTTGTTGTCACAGACCAAATCATGTGACTGGCTTGTGACACTGAATGCAAACACTGACTTCTTAAAACTGGTGCAATCTGCTGCTGAAATCCATACTGATGGAATTATGACAGTGAGCGTAAGTAACAGGATTCTGTCCACAGTGTAACTATTTCCTGATATTTTATGACACCCAAAGTCTGTGGCTTGAGGTAGCTGCCTCACTCTACCTAATACAGGGGTCAGCTTCATGGTGCAGGTGTCACACCATAAAGCCCACCTTAATTTCCAAAACAAACTTTCTTGCGTTGTCACAGGTGAAGTTCGGAATGATATTTACGTCACTCTGATGCATGGGGAGTTTGACAAAGGTAAAAAGAAGACTCCCAAGAATGTAGAGGTCACAATGTCTGTCCATGATGAAGATGGCAATCTCTTAGAGGTAGGCGCTTTTTAATAACAATGATCAATCTGCTGTTCATTAAAAGGCCTTTTATATGTAGGCAAATGATTTTTTTTTCTTCAGAAAATGTAGTTTGCTACCTTGAGCTGTTGCAAGTCCCCTTTAACTAGGAACTGAACAAAATTCATAGAAAGGAAGGTTTGTTAGCTGAATAAAGCCTCCAAGAATAGAGGCAGTGTATCTGAGTACAAGATGTGGGGCACTAGCAAATAGGGAGTCAAGGCCATGCTTGTGAATTTTTTGAAGGCTACTTCCTGCCTCCTGTGGAAAGCCACTGGGAGCAATCCGATTCTTGATCTGATTCAGCTGAATTCAGATGTTCAGATACACAATTCAGTAGCTTAGTTGGCATGGACCACAGCAATGAGCTTTAAATATGGTGACTAAAGTAGCAGACCCCCATTCATGACTCAGTAGGAATTTCCCTTGCAAGTGAATCATGCTGGATTAATGTATGAGCACATGGGCTGTCTTGTTGTGAGTCAGTAGCAGAACATGGAGACAAGTCGTAAGAAGAGCCACCTGTAACAAGTGGATAGTCATATACTGAGGGGAGTTTTAACACTGAAGTTTTATTACAAAATATATTCACCGATAAAAAAGCTAACTGTCACATTAGTACACTAAGAAAGGATTGCAAAGAATGGAGAATACAGGCGTATTGGTTTAGTCATCTTTCAGCAGGCATGTATAGTCATAATAATAATCATCTTAAAAGTGCAGAGCTGGTAGGGGCCCTACGGATCATAGTGTTTGGGAACCCAACTCCAACCCTCTCCAAATGGCACCAGGGCTCACTGGCTTCCTGTATCTGTCCAACACAACACCTGATATACTTGCTTAGGAGCTCAGACAGGGGACCCACAATGCCTAGCTCACTCCCACACACATGCATGGAGAAATATGTTCCCAATTCCCATGACATCACAAGGTGATGGGGAAGATAATCCTGTGACAGATCCTGACAAACAAGACAACACTTCAAAACCATTTCAGAAAATTACTTTTATTGGTTTTGGAAAAGAGGCTAAATGGATATCCTCAGTGGAGATGACAGCCTGGTTCAGCTCCAGCATGACGCCTGCCTTCTGGTCCCTCACATCCCCCTGGGGAAGAGGAAGTTCGGGCCCTGCAAGAGAAAGAGAGAGAGAAAAAAAAAGATCTTCTAAGTGGAAAGTATATGGCTCCTTCCCTTTTATACCCATTGTTGCCTCTACCCCCATCCTAGACCAAGCTGGGCTACAAGAAGGTGTAGAATCATAGTATCATTGAGTTGGAAGGGGTCTGTAAGGACACTGAGCCTAACTCCCTCCTTAAGGCAGAAGCCCAAAGCAAAACAGACCTGATAGATAGTAGTCCATTTTCTCTTGAATCTCTCCACCAATGGAGTGCTCACCACCTCCTGAGGTCCCTCTACCCCCATCCTAGACCAAGCTGGGCTACAAGAAGGTGTAGAATCATAGTATCATTGAGTTGGAAGGGGTCTGTAAGGACACTGAGCCTAACTCCCTCCTTAAGGCAGAAGCCCAAAGCAAAACAGACCTGATAGATAGTAGTCCATTTTCTCTTGAATCTCTCCACCAATGGAGTGCTCACCACCTCCTGAGGTCAGGTCATTCATGGGTGCACTCACCACCTGCCACGATAACTGGCTCCAATGTCATACTGCTCTAAAAGTCAAGAAGATTTTCCTCTATATTTTGCCTAAATCCGGCTTCCTGTAATTTGGGCCATCTAGAGCAGATCCTGACTCTCCTCTGTATGACTGCCTTTAAAGTTTTTGAAAAATGCTATCCTATCTACCCTCAGTCTTATTTTCTCAAGGTTAAACATGCTCAGTTCCCTGTCCAGAGCTTGGAAAAATGGCAACATTGGCTGGAAAACCTTAAGATTTATAGTCCAAAAAAAGTAACTTTTCTAGCTTCCACCTCTGTCTCAACAGAAGGTATCTGACATTCAGTGCTGCATTGAGCATAGCTAGAACAGAACTCTTCCAAATGTTGAAAGAGAGAAAACACCTTGTGGCCTAGTGGGAGACGAATGAGCAGAGTGAAAATCTGAATTAACCCCCACGATAGACCTGCAAGAGGAAAATAAAGAAACACAGAGTTTCCCAAACGTGGGTCATCAGATGCTCTTGAACTACAACTCCCAGAAATCCTGGCCAGCAAAGCTGGTGGAGAAGGCCACTATGGGAGTTTTAGTCCAAAAACATCTGGGGACCTATGGATGACAGGGTTTCTACCCAGGATCTTCTAAGTGGAAAATAAATGGCTCCTTCCCTTGGGATGTTCTGTACACATTGTTGCCTCTTCCCCCCATCCTAGACCTAGCTGGGCTACAAGAAGGTGTAGAATCATAGTATCATTGAGTTGGAAGGGGTCTGTAAGGACACTGAGCCCAACTCCCTGCTTAAGGCAGAAGTCCAAAGCAAAGCAGATCTGAAAGATAGTAGTCCATTTTCTATTGAATCTCTCCACCATTGGAGTGCTCACCACCTCCTGAGGTCATTGGTTCCATAGTCGTATTGTTCAACAGTTTAGGCATTTGGCTTTCAGTAGGTTCAGCCCATTATCACATGTCCTGCACTCTGGAATGATCTAGAGCAGATCCCGAGTCTCCTCTGTATGACTGCCTTTCAAGTTTCTGAAAAATGCTATCCTATCTACCCTCAGTCTTATTTTCTCAAGGTTAAACATGCTCAGTTCCCTGTCCAGAGCTTGGAAAAATGGCAATGTTGGCTGGAAAACCTTAAGATTTATAGTCCAAAAAAAGTAACTTTTCTAGCTTCCACCTCTGTCTCAACAGAAGGTATCTGGCATTCAGTGCTGCATTGAGCATCTGTCATTTTTCCACATTTTTCTTAGGGCCTTCACAATATTTCTGAAGCATTTCATGCAATGGTGCAATTAATTCGGAGGGGTTTTTTTTCATACCGAGTGCAAACTATTGCTTCTATCCTATATATATATATTTGCATTAATCATCTTCTGTGACTCGTTCTTTTGTTTTTGTTTCCATGTTTTCTTTCCCAAAGAAAGCTATCCATCCAGGTGCTGGTTACGAAGGTATCTCAGAGTACAAATCAGTTGTCTACTATCAAGTCAAGCAGCCCTGCTGGTACGAAACTGTCAAGGTGAGGCTACACTGCTGGCAGGCATGCTTGCTAGCTGTGTCCTTTATAATAACTGTGTACCATCAAGTTAGTTCTGACTTATGGTAGCCCTTTTCAGGGCTTTCTAGGTAGAGGACTCAGAAGTAGAGCTGGATGTATTCGTATACGAATATGAATATCCCCCCGGACTCAGAAGTAGAGCTGGAGGTATTCGTATACGAATACGAATATCCCCCCACAGGTGCAGATAACGGAACGGAGCAATAGGAACGGACTGCAGAGCTCACGGCAGTAGCGAAATCATGACTGGTCAGTCTGGCCCCAGGGGACTGGACCTTCATTATGTCCACCTCTGGGGGGATATTCGTATTCATATACGAATACCCCCATCTCTACTCAGTAGCGATTCACCATTCCCTTCTTGGGGTGGGGGTGTTGCCCTGAGACTCTGCAGCTTGTAGATGAAAACACTGCATGTGGGAAGCAGGCACGCATACAATAAAGAAAAGGAAAGAAACAGAAAGAAATGGTCATTGACGAGTCTACTCTAGGTCTATTCACCTCGTAGACCTGAACTTCTTTAAGGCGTATTTAGTAATTCACTGTCCTTGTGCAGCTTGTAGATGAAAACACGGCATGTGGGAAGCAGGCAAGCGTACAATAAAGAAACAGAAAGAAATGGTCATTGTCGAGTCTACTCTAGGTCTATTCACCTTGTAGACCTGAACTTCCTTAAGGCGTATTTAGTAATTCACTGTCCTTTCCACAGAGTTCTTACTTATCCTATTATTCCATACAGGTATCCATAGAAATAAAAGAAGTCAGCCGTTATCACTTAAGATTTACTTTTCGCCACCGATCATCACAAGAATGTAAGTGCTGGGAATGATGGGCAAATTTGAGCGTGAGCGTAGATCTGGAACCTAGCGTGTATGGTAGGGGAATGCTTGGGATACACATGTTGCTATAGAAAAATTTCTCAGGTAATTTGTTAACATCTCTGGGGTGGTGCATATGGACTAAAATAATGCTAAAAAAAGAAATATATTCAGCAGGATCTAATTTCTCCCATTTGAACAGCAAGCTTTTGGAATTTTGATTTTGTTATTTTTCCTTTACGGAAGCCTTGGCTCTGTATGGGGAAAAGGTAGCTTAGAAATGACATGAGCCCTCTTCAGGGATTCTTAACATGCAAGAAGAAAGTGTGCAAACCCCATACCTGAAGTTGTTCCCCTGGGGGGAAAGAAAGAGGGAGATTCCCTATCCATGGAGGTTCTCTACAGCAGGGGTCCCCAACCTTTTCAACCCTGCGGATTGCCTGGAGAAGGTAGTGCACCCCCTTGAGCTTGCATACATGCATGGGCGCGCAGACTCATGTGCAAATGGCGGTGCGGCGCTTGTGTGCAAATGGCGGCATGGTGTTCGTGCAAGCGCCTGGCGCTCATGCACAAAAGGGTGGGGCTCATGCATGTACGTGCATGCACAAAGGGGCTGTGTGGGGGGAAGTGCGAGGGGGGAGGTTTGTCTCCACAGCCCAGTCCGCGGACTGGGGGTTGGGGACCTCTGCTCTATGGAAGAAGAACCCTGATTTTTATATATTCTGGTGCTGCTGGAAAATGTCAGTGAGTGGAAGAATTTAGAAGCCCTGTTCAGGCATTACCTTCACAAATAGTCCCACAAGGCTTTTGGGGAGCATCTAGGCTGTTTTCACTCCCGTGTCAGGAGGTTTATTTTGCAGACAAGAGGTACCTGCTTTTAGCCTCCGAATGCAGAGAACCATGTAAAACGGGGCTTCATGCTGGCATTTAGGACCTACCTGGGAGCAGGAGCATCTGTGCCCCAGACGCAACTCTTTCCATATGTAGGAAGGGGTGCTGGAGAAGAATGGAGCTAGGTAATTCGTTGGAGGCATGAGGAGTCTTATTTGTGAGAAAGTAATGCCTGATAGGGTGAGATTCGCTGCTTTTCAAGTTTTAGTTCTGCTCATTTTTGCCTCAGCTCTGTTTTGATCAGTCTGCCAAGAGCCTCATACCTTATCTTTCTGAAGTTTAGACCCTTGGGTGCTGTTGCTTGGTGTAGCCAAACTGAGTTCATCCATGTGTGGGACAGATAGATCTGTAGATTCAGGTTAAAATCTGAGGAATTCCTTCATTATATAAGAAGATTTTGGGTATGAGGTCCTCAGTAGAGATTGGGATCCCCCCCTCCCTAGAGATTCCAGACTGCTGATGATTGAACCGGTTCTATGGCCAGAAAATATGGCTGACTTGGAAGCAGAAAAATTGGAGGGAAAATGGGATGTATTTATTTTGGACAATAACTTGCCTACGCTGTAATACCTTGTTGCAGTTCCCACAAGTTAATACAGGTTTTTATCCTTATTATTAAAAAAAATACAGTTTGGCCTTTTGCACAGAATGAAGAACACAGTGTTATGATGCTGGATGATAATCCAGTGGAGAGAATGACAACGAGGCTTCCCCCCACTCCATTTTCTTCTCTCCCACCTGTTTTTCCCACAGCACGAGATAAATCTGAAAGAGCTTTCGGAATGGCCTTTGTGAAGCTGATGAATGCAGACGGTACCACTCTACAGGATGGCAGACATAACTTAATAGTCTACAAGGTATGTTATCTTTTGGAAGTCCCTGGTGGTATTGTTGTTCCTCACAAAGTTTCTTCCTAAGACAATGTTCTCCTGCCTTAACTAGCTCACTGAGATGTGGGACAAAATTTAATCTAATGTATAGACTGGTTGAATCTCATAATACAGTACCTCAAATATATCAAATAAACCATGATGCTTGACCCTCCCTAAGAGTCATACAAAACTTTATAGACCTCCAGCAAAAAAAAAATCAGGAGTCTATGTTCATAACAGCTGTCATTGTCCCAAAAAAGAGCCAACTCCAGAAAGAAAACAGTCATTGACACTCATATCAAAATTCATGTGGATATCTAGGTGTAAATCTTTTCATTGTTGCCATAATTCCAGGCAACATTTTCTACAAACTTTATCTACGTTGCTTCTATGTTCCATATGCACAAAATATTTCAGAGTTGTTGTAAAATGCAAAAGCTTGCCTTGCCTTGACTCTGCTACATGATTGTTGTTGGTATCTAGTGTGTGTAGCATAGTTTGGAGCTGTCTTGTTATGATGAGTTGAATGAGTAAGTGTATCTTATCTCCCTATATTTATAATTCTTGCAAATTGTTTTCATTTCCTCCTGTCTATAAACAAGCCTTATCTGCGGGTCTTGGAAGTCCAAATGCTAAAAAATCCATCGATAATTTTTCAGTAGGAAACTGGATTGTTGTTGCATATATTATGAATCCAATGGCTTGTAATCTATAATTTCGTTGCACCCACTTGTGAGTGCAATGTTGGATTGTTGTTGCATATATTATGAATCAAATGGCTTGTAATCTATAATCTGGCCAGCTGCCATTATGCTGATAACATTATTGTTTTGAGTAGACCTTTTGCAAAGCTAGGAGTTACAGGAGTCCATAGCATCCTGGTATCCTTCTGATGTATTGATTATATTTCCCATTGTTCTCAATCAGTTTGGGTGGGGAGTCTGGAAATGGAATTCCAGTTCACCTCAATGGCACCAGCCTATGGGAAGCTTGTCTTTGGAGTTCCAAGGTCTTCTTTGTGTCTCTTCAACAGGGTGAGAACAAGAAAATGGAAGATGCTAAGTTTTACTTGACGCTTCCTGCCACAAAGGAGGAAATGGAGGACTGGGAGATTGTTCCAGCTAAGCCACAAGTGACCAACTTTACCCCAAACAAAGAGAGTACTAAGGATAGCTTTCAGATTGCGACACTCATCTGCTCTACAAAGCTGACCCAGAATGGTAAGTTGGGCTGCTGGCAATACTGAGGAAATGCAAGCCAGGTCCTAAATAGGTCAATTGATATATCATGTGCCATTCAAATCTACTCTTGGGCACATGCATCCCTGTGTAATTTCCCTGTTGGGTGGAATGAGTCAAGACTTAAATGGGACATAGATTTGCCTGATGGTTACAGGAAGTCTGCTATCCTGTTCCATTTGAGTTTCTCCTGCAAAAATATGGGCAGGCTCACTGGCTGGCTGTGCCATTAGGCAGAATGAAACAATTGCTTCAAGGGACAGCACTTGCACGCATGTACAGACACACAACTCACGTCCACAGCTTTTCTCCTGAGCACTACTGCCTGATCCTTTCTCTCTCTTGGAGGACATGATGTGTGCCATCGATCTTCTGCTTGCAGCAAACGGTTTGCTGTCCTCCGGCTTGCACTGGAACAAGCTATCTTGCTACCGAAGCGAGATGCCAACCTTCAGCCTAGTAGGCTTCCATCTGTGGAATGGAAGTAGTGCCACATTGTCCTTTGGCTCAGGCATCAACATGTCTTGGGATGGCTCTGACTTTCACGTCCGCCTCCACAATCCTTTAAAGATTAGAAATGTGCTGTAAGAGTGGACAAAGAATAGCTACTGTCCTATTCAGAGCATAAAGGAGATCACACAAGATCTCCACTGCTCTGGCAGATCCCCCATTGTACCACCAGTCTTGCAACCACTGCAAGACTGGCCATACAACGGAGCCTGCTGGTACAGAGAAACGACTTACGTGATTGCCCAGCTGCAATCACATAATGCTTCAGGATACCGGCCAGTGTTTTGAGCCCTTTGGTACCATATTCATTTCTATTTATACACACACATGACAGTAGCAAAGACAGATCTATCTCCAGAACTGTGATTTACAGAAGACTGGATACAGTTCCCACATTTCAAAGCTGCTTTTCTTCTGGCAAAGCTAGTCTCCAGACAACAGATTTGCCATCTTGTGGTTGGTCCCTATCAAGCCGTTGAGCTGGCAGATGGCCAGACTGGGTAAATGAATGTTGAAACAGGATACCCAGATGCAGTGCAAGGTGCTGTGTGTCTTTCTGGAGCTGTGACAAAACTCCTTCTTTTCCCCTCCCGTATGAGTTCATGCCAGAAATAAATATTGTATCCATCTTTGTCTTGTTTTGGAACCACAGCAGGAAGCCAATGCTTGCAATCTAATTTTTTTCCTCTCCTTTGCCTTTGTCAGTTGACCTGCTAGGTTTGCTGAACTGGCGTTCAAATTCCCAGAACATCGGACACAACCTCAAGAAGCTGATGGAGGTGGAAGGGGGAGAAATTGTCAAGGTATTGGAAGGTCATGGCTTTGCAAATATTTGGGAGGGCCCCTTACTTATTTTTCGGTGGCTCCTTCAGGAAGCTGCTGTCTTATTCCTACATGTAGAGGGACGTGGTGGCGCTGCGGGTTAAACCGCAGAAGCCTCTGTGCTGCAAGGTCAGAAGACCAGCAGTCGTAAGATCGAAACCTGGTGGTGGTTGAAATGGCTGGTGTTTACGGAAATCTGGCCTTCTTAAGGACTGGATCCTTACCAAAATATAACAGTTGGGGGGGCAGGGCTGAGGGTTTGGGGGTGATCTGCCTCGGTAGGGACAGAAATCTTGACTGATTTCATTATTGCAGGCAGGAACTCGGCAAGGTGAAACGGCAAGAATTTTTGTGCCCTCCTCCACATCTTAGCAATTTTTAGGGTGAAGAAATACATAAGTATGATTTGCACACAGACCTATACTTTGCAGAGAAAACCCTGAATTTTAAAACATACAAGTTTTTCATGCAAAACCCAGACTTTTCGATATGTTGACAGCAAAACTGCAAGAACAGAGTCCATCTTGGACATCAGAGAGTGAATGTGGAAGTGGGTCGGGGGGGGACCTCACCGCTGTTGCCTGTTTGTTCTTTAGAGGGGCCCTTTCTGATCTTTTCTGTGCCATGAGCAGCAGCAACGTACAGCTTTTTGGTGACATTCTAGGATCTGGAATTCATACTGGAATTCGTCACATGATCAACAGGAGAAGAACGGAGCAGAACTGGAGAAACCTCTCATGCAGGCAGTTTCATGTGACCAATTGTGTGATCAAAGCTGCAATCGGTAGAAGACGGGCATGCAATGCGGAATCTGCCAGAGCAGTGGGGTGGGATATTTATGCAGTTCCCTTTCCACTTTTCTGCATTAAGGCTTATATGTTTAGAACATTCAAGAATGGAAAAGCAGAATAATGGAGGCATGCTCGTAGTTTGTACAGCATAGTAACTTTGAGACTGCAGCATAAGCACCCAGATAGGCAAATTTCTTCTAGGATAACTGACCGCTTAAATAGGGTTTCTCCCTGGTTGTAAAAGCAGGTCCTCTAGAACAGAGTGTTTAGAAAAATCCATTTGATGATTTACAACTCTGAAATGCCTGTAGTCAGAATAGCAATAATTTTGCAAAATTCTGCTCCAGCACTGAAAAAAAAATCTCTGCCATGCTAATCTCACATGATTTTTAATTCATGACTAATGGATCAGTGATTTAGGTCTCTGGCTGTGGAGCCAGAAGTTGAGAGTTTGATTCTCCATTTGTGCCTCCTGGGTGGCCTTGGGCAAGCTGCACAGTCCCACAGCGCCCCTAGAGGAAAGGAAGGGTGAAGCACTTCTGAGTATTCTCTACCTGGAAAAGTGTCACCATAAATTAGAATTTCCTTGATGATGCATGATTATTACTATTATTAATAATAGTAATACTGAAAGGACACAAAGAGTATGTAAACTGGATTTCAGAAAACTAGCACAAGAGACTTCATTTTTATCTCCTGACCCATTCCTGTTTTCTGTCTCCAGTTCTTGCAAGATACCCTTGATGCACTTTTCAGCATAATGATGGAGATGTCCGACAATGAATCCTATGATTTCCTTGTGTTTGATGCACTGGTAAGTTGCTTTCTTGTCCCTCCCCCTCTTTAGGTCTGGGATAATTTTGACAATAAATGGATGCTTCTGACTCAAATATTCAAAATGCTTTCCTTAATGGTCATGTCCTTTTATCTCTTCCCCCCCCCATAGGTATTTATTATTTCCTTGATTGGGGACATCAAGTTTCAGCATTTCAATCCTGTACTGGAAACATACATTTACAAGCACTTCAGCGCTACCCTAGCCTATGTGTAAGTATACAGGCTTGTTACATCGCTGATTTGATTTCCACTGTAGAGACCTCCCTCAATTGGGAAGGGGGGAAGACGTAGCCCAACCTGTCAGATATTAGACTTCATCTCTCAGGACCCCAAACCAGCGTCACCAATGGAGAGGGTTCATGGGAAATGCAGTCCAGAAGTCTCTGGCGGGGCCATGCATTCCCATCCCACATCAAGCTGTGTGCTTTTCTCTCCTCTTGGTGGGCAGAGGAGCAAGAGTCCTTAAGAGCCACATTCTCACAGGGCAAGCAAGCAGCCAAGGTGTGAGCAAACCTTTACTCGCTGTGAGTGAGTTGTATGCTGGGGAGGTAGCTCAGATGCTCTCGCTTTGCTCCTCATGCTAATGTGAGCTGCTACCCAACTTGGATATGCTGTGCTTTGGGTGTTTTCTGAACCAAGAATGGACCAGAGGGGTGCGCACCAGCTTGGTTGACCAACCCAGGATTCAACGCCAAACTTGGAAGACCGAAGCATCAAGCTTCTCTGCCCGAATGGGCAAATCTTGTGATTTTCTCTTCCTTCTACATTCTAGCATCTTAATTTTTTTTACTTCCCATGCTGACATTTGCACATTCTGGAATGTACTTTTTTATATAACAAAAAGAACAACATCCCAATACAGGTCTTTTGTAAAGTGAGCCCCTTTCTTACAGAGTCACCCTCTGTGTAACACAGCAAGGACGGTCCAATTTAAGTAACAAATTAATCTGAGAACTGGAGACTTGGAAAGGACCTTATGGATCATGTCAAGTTGGCCCTGTGGGAGTATCGAACTCCCAACTTCTGGCTCCACAGCCAGAGACCTAAACCACGGAGCTCTCTAAAAGGTGCCACCAAGCGACAAAGTCTCATTTGACTGCTAGTCTACTTATCTGTTCTCTCTGATATTGGGGCACAAGCTTGTCTTCTCTCCCTTGGTTCCTCAAATGCTGTGAACGTTGTACTTGCCTGCTTTCCAGCTTGAAAGACAAAGGAGTCCAAATTCTGCCTTTTACCCAATCACTAGTAAACTATACTGGATGCTGTTCTTAGATCTTCCTCCTTGCCTTTTCTACCACTGCTGCCTCCTAAGTCATCAGTGAGCAGAACATAAATCGGAATCTACTGACAGATCTCTGAGTGATTTGTAGTAGATCACTAGGGATTACTATCTTCTCATTGCTTAACAGTAGCAACAGTAAAAACGTCTTTGCAAATGTGTTGTTGTTGTTATGTGCCATCAAATTGCTCTCGACTTACCGTGACCCCATGAATGAGTGATTTCCAAAAGGCCCCATCCTCAACAGCCCCGCTCAGCTCTTGCAAACAAAAGCCTGTGGCTTCCTTTAGAGTGTCAATCCATCTCCTATTTGGTCTTCCTCTTTTCCTGCTGCCTTCTACCTTTCTGAGCCTTATTGTCTTTTCCAGAAATGGAAGGCTTTTAGAATGGGTTCATCGTTTTATTTCTGGATAAAATCAGCTGTGCAAGGCCAAGAGTGGCTCTGTAGGCACCTGCGTTTTCTCCTTCAGTAGATTAATAATGACCCGTCAGTTATCAGTGGTACCTTTAGGTATTTCATGGTTTGAAAAAGAAGGCCCCCAAAATGTAATGCTGAAATATGAGCAGAAGGTGACAAAATAATTGGCATGCTGTAATGTAGTCTGTGTGGATGAAAAGGTCAGAGAAATGGAGATTACTGTATTCCATGACCATCAGGTAAAGGTAAAGGTTCCCCTTGACATTTAGTCCAGTCGTGTACTAGGTGGTGGCGCTCTTCCCCATTTCCAAGTCGTAGAGCCAGCATTTGTCCGAAGACAGTTTCCGTGGTCACATGGCCAGCGCGACCAGACACGGAACACCATTACCTTCCCACCGAGGTGGTACCTATTCATCTACTCGCATTTGCGTGCTTTTGAACTGCTAGTTTGGCAGGAGCTGGGACAAGTGACGGGAGCTCGCTCTGTCACATGGATTCAATCTTATGATGGATGGTCTTCCAACCTTGCAGCACAGAGGCTTCTGTGATTGAATCCGCAGCGCCACCACATCCATCAGAGGGGAACCTAAAGCAGAGGTGGACAGAGACCAGCCTTCCAGATATTGCATTACGGTTTCCATCAGCCCCAACAAACAAGGCTCATGGTGAAGTGTACTTGGAGTTTCAGTCCCACAAGAAGGCTACACTTTGCCCCTCTGGATCATGATAAATTATGGAGGAGGGGGGGAATAAGGCCATTGGAAGAAGCATATGCATGCAAGATACATATGGGCATTGAGTGTGCTCATTTCTAAATGTGGATGGATCCTAAGACTTGCACACTGGTAAGGCTGAAAGCCCTTTCACGTAAAGAAATGAATGATACTTCTGTGAGCCCTTGTAGCATAGAAGGGGAGGAGGAGCATAACTTTAGCAGAGCTCAAGTCGCTGAGAATGTTAAAACACTTCACTTTCTAGTTAGGGAAGATGGGGTGAGCCAAAGTGGCCACAAACCCTAGACCACAATGATTGATTGGTTTCGATCTCTTTTCAGAAAACTTACCAAAGTTCTGAACTACTACGTTGGAAACGCAGATGACTCCAGCAAGACAGAGTTGCTCTTTGCCGCCCTGAAAGCCCTGAAGTATTTGTTCCGGTTCATAGTTCAGTCTAGGGTGCTGTACCTCGGGTAAGCAAAGAAAGGAAGATTTGGTGCCCCTTTTCAGCCATGATGCAGTCATTGTTTATTAGATTCTTTAATTGCATCATTGAAGTACAGAAATTGGCAGTGACTTTTTTTAGCCAAATACCACCCAAGTACAGTAATTGCATGCCATCTAGTCAATTCCAACTTCTGGTGACACTTTCCAGGATTTTCTGGATAGAGAATACACAGAAGTGCTTTAACCTTCCCTTCCACTGGGGGCGCCCTGGGACTCTGCAGCTTGCCCAAGGCCACCCAGGTTGGCTCTTCTCCCAGGAAGCACAGAAAGGAATCAAAAGTCCCAGCCTCTGGCTCTGCACTCAGAATCCTAAACCGTTGAGCTATCCAGCCAACTGCCTGACTATAGCCCCAGGATCTACTTTCACCACCTTGAGAGGTGCTGCATGGCCCAGTATCGGGGTGACCCAATGTCCTTTTCTAGGGAGGACAGTTCTCTATTAGAAGGCCTGCAAGAGGATCATACCTCTTTCAGAGGTGTCCAACACTGTCCAACATAAGTTTAATTTAAAGATAAAGAACTGTAAGAAGTTGTCCACCTGTGCAGCGCATGGATAGCAGACTCATCAGGTGCACACGTCAGTGCATTCTTTTGAATGAGTTGCATTAGAATTATCTTTAGAGATGGGCACGAATATTCGTTCAGCGGTTTGTGCTTGTTTGTTTATTGGCTGAACAGGTGTTTGGCGCTTCAAAGCCTTGTCTCCTGTGGCGGGCACCCACGTGGAGACAGTGACCTCCTCTGAGTGCTGCTTCTGAATGGGTGCCCGCCAGAGGAAGTGGGGCCTTGAAGCGCAGAATGCTCCTTTGGCCGATAAACGAACCGGCACGAACCACCGAACCAGCCGTTCATGCCCATCATGAATTATGTTTAAATTACAAATCATTTTGCATTTTGCATTTGCTATACATAAAATTAGCATGTGCCATTAGACTTCTCTTTTGTTTTCTGCTCTGCCGACGCTTGTCCTCCTTTCTGATAGGGTTTCATTATCCATCCTCCTCAGTATTCAATGTATAGTGTTTACAAAAGAAAGGCAGACATTGGATGCACCTTTTCTGCATCAGGCCAGGCAGCCCAACTTCTTAAAGTTACATGGAAAATCTTACTGCTAAGCCATGTTTTTCTTCAAAATGTTTCCAGAGCTAGAAAAGCTATTAATGCATTTAAAAAAAATCAAAATCAAAGCTAAAGTTTTTGGCTCTTATCTCTATGTAATCAGAATGGCACCATATGCAAAAGAGAGAAATAATAGAGGGCTCAGGGGAGCAGAACTTAAACAAAAAAATATTGTAGGGAAAAGACCCCATTAAGGATTAGGATATGCTCCGTGATCACAGCGTGCAGTCTGTAGCCCAAGGGCAGTTGTGTCCACAGTGTCCACAGTGTTGAACAGAAGCACTGCTCATGGCACCCATTTGTTGCAGTCCCCACTTGCCCTGCTTTTATTTCAGGTTCATGATTTATTTTTGCACGTGGCGTCGCAAATGCCAAAGACTCTCCATAAAAGTTCTGTTTGCCTTCAATAGTCCAGAGATGGAAATACCATGTTTACATTTTGATCCCTCAGCTTCTCACAGCTTCACATTCGAGGACGTTGAGTGGCGTCGTGCCTTTCCAAAATTAGGTAACAGATACAATAGGGCTAGAGGAATTCCTCTTAATGTTAGCATGCAATTCATTCCCAGTGAAGAGTTGGCTTTTTGTGGGGATTCTCAGTAGGTCTTTTCAGTAGCAAGTGAGTGGAAATAAGCAAGCTCTGTGCTTCAAGCCCACAGAGAAACTCTGCTTTTTCAACATATGCTTCGTTTTGGGATACTCTGAGACCATTTACTCAACAACCTGAAACCTATTTGTTCACTCCACCAGCATAATGGAGTTGGTGTAAATCTCACTGGTGAACTGCTGCAAGTTAAGAAGGCAGTGCATGTGTTTGCTGCGACAGCACCAATTTCTTCATTTGCTGCAGTTTGCCAATGTGATTTAAGCCAGCTGCGTTATGTCCATGTAAAAACTAGATAGTTTTTTGGCCAGTCCTACTAACAGCACCTCACTAAATACACAAATAATTGTAATAACTGTGTGCCCTCAAGTCAGTTACAACTTATAGCCACCCTTTTCTCGATTTTCTAGGTATAGGGTAGTGAGAAATACCTGCCCTTTCCTTCTTCTGGGGTAGCCCTGGGACTGTACAGCTTGCCCAAGGCCACACAGGCTGGTTCTTCTCCTTCTTCCAGTGGGGAATCAAACTTCCAGCCTCTGGCTCCACAGTAAGATGCTAGTCCAGCTAGCGTCACTGAACACACTGCAGACGCCTTATTTAGTTGTTAAGTCATGTCCGACTCTTCCTGACCCCATGGACCAGAGCACGCCAGGCCCTCCTGTCTTCCACTGCCTCCCGGAGTTGGGTCAAATTCATGTTGGGCGCTTCAATGACGCTGTCCAACCATCTCGTCACCTTACTTCATTAGAAATTCTGGTTAGCTCAGTGGTTTAGATTTCTGGCTGCAGAGGCAGAGGTTGAAAGTTCAGAAGCAGAGGTTGACAGGGGCTGGACTCAATGGTCCATAGGGTCCCTTCCAGCCCTGCAGATCTAAGATTATTATGCAGTAGCAACTCTAAGAGGAAGACCTCTTCCTATGGAGTAGGCACGTATGCACCATTGTACTATCAACCACATATCTCTCTCTGCTTTTTCTCCAAGCTCCAAACATAAATAAGAGGCCCCCAGAAGAACTTCAGGTATATGCCTTTCTGGTCTTTTCAAATTCACCTTCCTTAATTCTTTAAGTGGTGGCTGAAATTTGAAGCAAGTTGTCATCCAAAACATTTGAAGAATGCCAAGTTGTCTCTACCTGATCAATGGCATAGCTTTGGCTGCCATTGTTAAAACCAATGTATGCATTTTGAAGCTTTAGCCTTCAAAAAGTTTCCCAAAGATCAAAAGTTTCAAAAGTTTCCCAAAAATCAGCGCCCACGAACAGGAAGAAGAAGAGCAAAACCCTTTCTTCAAGTTCTTCCCATAGCAAAAAGGAGTATATCACCAAGAGAGAGGAATGGTTTAGAATAGTTTAGCAGAAGCCCCATCTTGAAAGCCTAGATAATTCAGTGGTAACCCATTGCCCGCAAGGAAAACTGGGAAATACAACTCCCACTATCTCTCTGCTTCCTTGTTTGAGCAGGGCGACATGGGAAGCTCACCTTTCGCTGGTTCCCTTATTTCTAAGCTTAACTTCAGGAATGGCGTAGGAATGGGGAACATGCCCAGTGCGAAGGGTTATGCACTATTTAATATGTTAATATATGTTGATTTTCAGTGGATTTGTATTGCATTGAACTAACTTGTGAAAGATTTTGCATGCGCAAAGGTACTGAATAAAGGCAAAGTAAAAGCTCTTCTGAAATCTTGCTTGCAATTATACAATGCCTGGGAAATTGGGGAAAACTGTAAGTTTTGGTTGTATGTTAAAATGAACAGCTCTTACGATGAATTTAATGTGCACAAGTCAACCACTGCGAATAGCCTGTCTGTGTTGATTTGATGAACATTAACATAGTCCACCAGAAGAAGATATGTATGTTTGTCTCATATTAAATAATACGAGACAAATATACATATAATCGGATGAATAACAAATTATGATTCAGATTAACAAATAGAGAAAGGTCTCACAGACTTCCATTCTGCTCTGAAGATGAGCAGCTTCTACCATTTTTAAGATATGTGACCAGCGAATGTTTACTACGGCTTATTCTTTCTCCTATTAGATTTTATGGAAAAAGTGAAGATGGAGATGAGTTTAACAATGCAATCCGCAAGCTGTTCCTGTCTTTTAATATCCTCATGGATCGACCTTTGGAGGAGGCTGTTAAGATCAAGGCGAGTAGAGGTCTCCTGTGCAGATCCGGAAATGTCCACGGGTTCTATTCAGCAAATGTATATAACTTATTTTCTGGTTTGAAATGAGCTTCCCAGCCTCCAAAAATGAGAACGGTCCTGCTACAAGGTCTGTAGGTCATGTTTCTGTACTTGGATAAAGCCCGCATGGAAAACTGAGGCATCATCTATTTATTTATCTATTTTGTATCATTTGCGTCTAACCTTCTTGGCAAAAAAAACCTGTTAACCAAGCAGACTGGTGAAGCACAGAGAATGAATCTCTCTCTCCTGGTCCTTACTGGTGAGGAAGAAGCAGGCTTGTGCTTCTTCTGTGGCTACCACAGAAACTAGGTGGGCTTTTGAAAGAGGGACAGAAGGATCCGTTCTTCTTCCATTAGCCTCTCACGCTCACCTCACTGGCCTGATGTCCTTCATCTCTCCTGCCAACCTGTCTGAAGGATAAGCTGTACTGATTTGTGATGCTGATGCTTGACCTTTTGTTCTCAAGGGAAATACAGAGAAAGGAAAAAGCTATGGTACTGGTCTAGGTCTCAGATATGATCATTCTTCCTCAGAGTTTGGGGAAGTTTTACTTGTTTGTTTGTTTATTTAACTTGTATGCCGCCCACTCTACCCAAAGGTCTCTGGGCAGCTTACAACAATTGAAATACAATTAAAATACAATAGAAAAGATAAAACAATTAAAATAGATACTCTAAAAATTGCCATCAGGACCCACAGCTGATATTATTTCAATTAAAAGCCTTCTGGAACAGGAGGGTTTTGACCTGGCACCAAAATGTCATCAGCGTCGGCGCCAGATGAATCTCAGTTGGGATGGCATTCCATAATCTGGGGCAGCTGCTGAAAATGCCTTTTGTCTACAAGCCATCTCTCTTACCTCTTTGAGGGACGGCTCTTTCAAAAGGGCCCCCTGGCTAGATCTTAACTGCCCGGTCGGCTCATATGGAAGGAGGCGGTCCTTCAGGTATCCAGGGCCCAAGCCATTTAGGGCTTTATATGTCAAAACAAGCACTAAATTGGGCCAGGCAGCAACTGGTAACCAATGTA